CCACTGGCTGGATCAAATCAACTGTGTCACGAGTCGGGTGCCAAGGCAGAGTGAAGTCACCTGGCAGGTCCCAGAAGAAAGACGCACTGGTACACATGAGGCCCTGAGAGACACACTGAGTCATTCCTTGTAGTGGACTCCTCCCTCCAGAGGTAGAGCACTGCTACCCTCTAGGTGGCAGTGCTGTGCTGACTGGCCCCAGAACAGAGCTGAGAATTGGTCATAGTCCTGGCTCATCCACCAGCTGCCTATGTCATTTTGAGTCACTTTAGGAGCCTCTCTGAGCTACAGAATCCTCAGCTGGAGGAGGAGTCTCCATTAACATCAAGGTCAAGGCTGCATTCTCATCTGAAGGCTCAAGTGGGTCCAAGAGACTAATTTCTAAACTCACCATGGAGAGGAAGGGAACAGAGCCACACATGGGCCTGAATATCAGCAAACAGGGAGCAAGGGGGACTAGCTTAGAGGCTGCCACCCACACTGGGGCACGCTGCCCTGTGAAGCCGGACTCCCCCAACTCTTCCAGAGTTCCAGGCTGCACCCGCCACCCCAGGCTGAGGACTCCTTGAAGCAAAACCATCAGCTCCTGGAGGAGTGAATTTACCTTTCAGGGAATTGAGCATTTCCTCTGTGTTGCCACACACAATGGCCAGAAATCTAACCCTTCCTGTCTCCTTCCCCGCAGTCCATCCCGATGCCCCCTGCTCTTGGCTCTGACTCCTCCAGACTCTCACTCAGTTGCATTCATGGTTTTTCCATAGAAGGGCAACGCTCAAATTCCAGCTTCTAGAATCTAGTGAATGCACCCACCTACACTCAGAGTTGGGTATTGAGATGGGGGAAATTCATCAGCCTGCTTCCCAGCCTGCATGCCATGGGGAGTGTATCTGAGGCAGCCCTAAACTCCTGCAGGGGGCAGGCTTTGGACCCATCAGCAGCCCCAGACTGGTGATGGTCCTGGCATAGCTGCAGAAGCCACACCTGGTATGCATGTCAACATGAAGGGACCAGGAAGCTGAAAGATCAGGGAGCCCCTGGAGCCGGGGAGGCCAGACTGCGCCAGAGCAGGGATGTCCTCATCTCACACCCACGGACTTTCATCCATCATCTCACACCCTTTCCTCTGGGGCTGGGCCACCTAGGGATGGCAAGTGAAAGAGGATTGACAATACCATCTCCAGAGGGATTCTGAAGCTGACATGGAGCTCAGGGAGGAGCACCAGGAGTAACTGTAACTGGCTGCCCAGATATAGGGGAGGGAATGGAGTAGCAATCCCAGGTCACCCTTTTGCCACCCTTATGCCAGGCACTGAGTATATGAATATATACACAGAACAGGAGACTTGGTCCCATCTTGGAGATCACAGGTAAATGAGAGTATGATAGTAAATAGTTAATTGGAAGGTGGGCTAGGTGGCTTATACCTATCATCCAGCTTCTTAAGAGGTAATATCTGAAGGTCACAGTTCAATGCCAGCCTGGGCTGAAAAGTCCAAGAGACTTCTATATCCAATTCATCAGATTCTCAATGTATTTGTTAACAAATTTAGCTATAGCTTTTTTGTGTGTGTGCCAGTTCTCGGGGCCTGAGTACTATTCCTAAATTTTGTTTTGCTTCTTTTTTCTCAAGGCTGGTGCTCTACCACTTAAGCCACAGCTCCATTTCTGGCTTTGAAACTTGATCCTCAGATCTCAGTGTGCTTAGTAGCCAGGATTAGAGATATGAGCCGCTGGCACCCCAACTAAAGACTTAGCTTTTAACTGCTCTATAACACATATGCATAATAAGGTAGGTGCTAACTTCTTTTCTTTTTTAATTGGGAAAGAATCTTTTTTTTTGGGGGGGGGGGTCCAGTCGTGGGGCCTGAACTCTGGGCCTGGGTGCTGTCCCTCAGCTCTTCAGCTCAAGGCTAGCACTCTACCACTTGAGCCACAGCGTCACTTCCAGCTTTTTTCTTATGTGGGCTGAGGAATCGAACCCAGGGCCTTGAGCATGCAAGGCAAGTGCTCTACCACTGAGCCACCTTCCCAGCCCGGGAAAGAATCTTTTTACAAGTGCTTAGGTATTTTATCTCTTGGAAAAACAGGCGTCAATTATACTATTACCTGGGAAATAAACTCTCTGCTAAGGCAACAGATCAGCATCCCAGAAGCAAGGGGTAGGAGGTTGTTCTTCTAATTTCTGGCATCATTTCTCTGGGTTGGGAGTCTTATGAGACTCTTATGTTCAAAAAAACTTGCTGAAAGACAGATCTATTTCTGCAGAAAACATACCCCTTTCGTTATGAATATTCACAGGAGTCTGTATTGTTTTGAGAGAAAGATGTGCCATTCTTATGCAAGATCCCAATTTAAGACCTTATGAAATCAGGTTCCTCTAAGTAGTTCTGGATTCCGAACATCTCTCCTTCACAGCTGCAGGGAAGCAGTGACATCGCATCCTCCCTTTTTAGATTTCTTTTGTTAGTTCTGAAGACTTGCAGTTTTTAGGCTGGGCTCTGGCTTAAAATTTCCTGTCTTGAATTTTCTTTGATTTTGCTATCAGGAACAAAGCGCTAAGGAGGACTTGCCTTAAGAATAGCAAAAAGTAGAGCACATAGAGTGGGCCTAAACCAGCATGCTAGAACAAAGTGGGGAGTCCTTGTGCAGAGGGACCCCAGCAAACAAGCCCATGGCCAGGCATCTTGTGATGGTCTTGGGAAGAAAGGCTGCTGGTTTCCTTAGGAAGGATAATGAGGAAGATAGGGTGTGTTGTGGCAGGCACACGCACATGGCAAGCCTGCACATATGACAGGCTGTGGGAATAAAGGTGGAGAAAGTGCCATGACAGTCACACAGGGCTCCATACCGCTCCATGCACAAGGGACTCCCGCAGCTCTTAAATCCAGTTCAGGTGGAATGGGGGCCGGGGGGGGGGGGGGAAGAAGGGGTGCTGAAACCTGAGCAGACAGCTCTCAACATCAATCTTTCTCGCTCAGGTTGCTTAGGACAGAACCCCACTACCAGTGCTGAGGAGCCAGGAGATTCAGAGTTTAAGGTGAAAGGAGGGGGGTGGGAGGGTGTCTCTCAGGTTGGGGGTGGCAGGAGGCAAGGCTGCCACCTGTGGCCAGGTGAAAGAAGGAACACTACTGCAGCACCTTTGAGGCCACATAAAGTGGGTTTAAACACCACACTGGTGGCTCACACCTGTAACACTAGCTACTGAAGGGGCTAAGGATGAGGGTGCAGTTTGAAACCAGCCCAAGCAGACAAATCAATGAGATTCCTATCCCCAACTAAGCAGCAAGAAGCTGGAAGTGGAGCTATGGTTCAAGTGGTAGAGTGCCAGCCTTGAGTAAAGAACTCGTGAGAACGCAAGAGCCTGAGGTCAAGCCCCAGGACTGGCACAAAAACGGGGGAGAGGCAGGGCCTAGCATATTCATGAATCAGGTAGGGACCAGCTTGGGGTGTGCAGGCTTCCCCTAGCGGGAGGGCCATGGTACCAGGACTCCCTCACCCCAGGGCCTAAAGTGTTTTTCCTTCCTAGGACCTGTCCCCGAGGGAAGAGAGGAGCCAAGCAGAGTCTATGATCCACGCGCCTCAGAGGTGAACATCCAGGAGCCCACAGGAAGGAATGGACACCCAGAGCCCCAGCACTCCATGGCCTGGCCTCTCAAGGCCTTCCAGTACCCCAAGATCCCCCTAAGGGGCTGGGCTCTGGCCTGGAGATCCTCCTCCCGGCTGGAAAGAAGAGACCTCTGGAATCAGAGTGGGGAATCTCCTCAGGATCAGAAAGGGGCAGCCCCCCAGGAGGGGAACAAAGGGACTCCCCACCCCCAAAGAGGAAATAGTCCTATGTGCTGGAGAAAGGACACTGCACAGGCGCAGGAAACAAAAAGCCCTATCTGGAGAAGACAAGATCGCGCAAACCTGGGAAGTGGGCTCAGGGAGAAGCCCGAGAACGAGCGCGCTCTCGGGGGCCACCCGAGGGCCACCTGCAGGTCCCCAGGAGGAGAGACCTCTCAGGGAGGGGAAGGGGAGTGCGAGGGTCCCCAGAAAAGGCACACCCCAAAGACTCAGGTCAATAGAGAGGCAGAGGGAGAGGGCGGCTGTGGGGCCGCCCGGAGCGGGGCGTGGGCACCTCCACCCTTCCCCGGCTCGGGAGTCCCCATGCTCCCCGCCCTCAGGCCCAGGCGCTCCGGGAAACCGGGGGTCCTTGCGGCTCTCCTCGGAGGACGTGCCAGCCCTACGGAACAGGAGGTGCTCGAGGCGAGGCTCCTGAGCTCAATCGGGAGGCAGAGGGGCGGCCCTGGGGACCCTAAGGCCTGGAAGGCCGCTTGGCCGGCGGGCTCGGAGGAGGCTCGGACGGCGCGGCAGCAGGAGGAGACGGCGCTGCAGCGGCTGCTGGAGCTGCAGGGCGCGGCCAGGCGGCGGCGCCCGCGGGAGCGCGAGCACGGACTCCCGGTGCGCGGGGCCAGCCAGGGCCGGCGGCGAGGGCGGCGGTGAGGGCGAAGGTAACGGGGAGAGCGGGAGGCAAGCCGAAGCCGAGCCGGGCTGCCTGCCTCCTCCCCAGGTCCTGGACCGGCTCTGCATCGCTGGGAGCCGCCATCGTGGGGTTCACCCCCCGGGGTTTCCAAGCGTGGCTCAGTTCCCGCCACAAGTAAGAGCTGGGGCTGCCCAGGCGCTACCCTGGGCGGAGCAGGTGGCGGGGGTTCGAGCGCACGGTCGCCCCTTCCCGGGCCCCTGGCCCCGCGCTCTGCCTGCCCTGCCCGCCCGGGAGGCGGCACGCCCCGCGGGAGCAGCTGCACTGAGTGCACCACAGAGAACCTGACGGTGCGCCCCTGGGGGCCAGGCATGGGGGGGAGGGGGGGTTCAGGCAGGAAGGCTGGGGAGGGGTGGGAGGGGTCCCTTTTCCCTGGCATTGGGATGACAGGTCATTCTTTTCTCAGGAATACCCGGAACTGTCGGGAAGTACTGTCCCCTGGTGCGGAGAAGCCTGCCTCCAGAGAAGAGCGCCCACCTTTCCAGCCGTCTGGCCACGGCTGGCTCCCTAGAGATATCTAAGGAGAAAGGAGTTAATGAAAATGCCAAGAGGGCAACCTCCAGGTCCCAGGTAGTTTCAGAAAAGCCAGAATGCAGCCTCAGGGCCGGAGAGCAGACACACAGACAGACAGACACGCCGCCTCCACCAGGAGGCCAGTTATTTCCTTCCCTCCTGAGCCCATGATTGGCCCACTTCACAAGGCCAGGTCCCGGGGGTCAAGCAGTGCAAAGGCCCCGTTCTTGCGGAAGAATGAATCGATCTCGCACATCTTGCAGGAGATCTTTGCTTGCTTGGCTGCAGGGCCTGGGAAAAAATATCAGAGGCCAGGAATGGGTTTCTGAGGGGGACTCAGGGCAGAGTGCTGGTCTGCTTAGGCCTGGGAGTCTGCTGGTATACCTACTTTGTGTGAAGAAATAAAAAGGGATTCTGAAGACTTGGGGCTACAGGAAAATTCAGACTTGGACACCTGGGCAAGCAGTGGTGGCAGCATGACCCCCACTGACTTCCACTGTCACAATATGTTTCTGGTAGGATGAAGGGGGATTGCAACCCTACTAGTCCCAAGGACAGACTGCTTCTCTACCTTATCTTCTTTTTGTCAGTCATGGGGCTTGAACTCTGAGCCTGGGCACTGTCCCTTAGCTCTTCAGCTCAAGGCAAGCACTCTACTACTTGAGCCACAGTGCCACTTCCAGTTTTCTGATGGTTAACTGGAGATGAGTCTCATGGACTTTACTGCCCGGGTTGGCTTTGAACCATGATCCTCAGATCTCAGCCTCCTGAGTATCTAGGATTACAGGCGTGAGCCACCGGTGCCCAGCTCAATCTCTGTTTTCAATAGCACCAATACTGAAGTGATTCCTGAATTTGTGTTCAGAACTCTGATCTCACTCTGGAGGTCCAGACTTTCACAACTTTAGTCTACCATGGCATGGCAAGTCTCTTCCCATTCCCACTAGCCCCATCCTTCCACAACCTACTCTGTCCGGCTAAGCCCAACATCTGGATGTTACCATTGGTTTCTCTCTTGCCCACATTCAGTAAGTTCCATGGAGTCTTCCCTCAAAGCATTCAAACTGACTCAGCTCCACTGCTAATTCTTCTAGTTGGAATAATCCTCCATTTTGCCAAGATGCTTAATTCACCTGCAAGATTCTACAATTGCTGGCAAAAAGCCAGGAATAGAGCTGTGGCTCAAATGGTCTAAGGGGCAATGCCCAGGCTCTGAGTTCAAGTACCAGAACTGACATGCAGAGGCACACACAAAGTTAACTCAGGGTCACTTGCTTAAAACCCTCCACTGGTTTCCCCTTGAACTAGAATAAAATCTAGACTCCTCCCTCTGCCCTTCAGCTCAGCCCCGAAGGGCTCAGAAAGACTTGTTCTGACACACAGCCCCTTGCTTCACCTCCCATCAGCACTCCCTAGTCCGCGGGACTTGTCCCTCCCTATTTATGGACTTGCCCTTCCCACATGCTTATGTTTGTAAGGTGACTAATTTGTGGGAGGCTGGGGCTCACCCAGTTGCCAGCCATACGTGAAGCTGGTGGTGATGGGGAAGAAGTAGCGTTTCTCTGGAATGTCCTGTTTCCGGGTGTTGAGATAGCGGTAGCGCCCTTGGAAGTCATGGGAGATGCCTTCAAACAGCAGGGCCCGGATGGCAGGCTCTACAGGGTACATTTCTGACTGAGGAAGAGCCTCTGGGACAAGGCTGGGAGCCTTGGCAGGGCTAGCTTTGGGGCCAGGTGGGGCTGGGAGTGGGGTCTCCGGTTGCAGGGTAGGCAGTTTGAGGGGCAGGCGAGCTGCAGCTTTAGCCTTCTGGTTGGCCTTCAGCAATGACCCATACTTGCGGTGCCATTCACAGCGCAACATCATCTCCCTTAGATATTCCTCCTTCCAGAAGTTTTGCCGCATGGTGTCCATATTGAGATGTCGTGCCATGGTGGCAAGGCAAGGAACAGAACCAGGATGGTACAGCTGAGGGATGAGCACAGCAAGCAGCTTGTGGCCACCCTGGACAGTCACCTGGCAACCATACTTCACCTCACACAGGGCCAGAGTTCTACCTGCCAGGCCCTTAGCACACTTCACTCTCCTGAGGCAGCCTGAGGTCGGGGCCCACTACCCAAATGCCTTCACTCTCAAGCCTCCAGCAGGACCTAAATTCCACCTAGAATGACAGGTTTCTAGCTTTCTGGTGCTTTCTGCTTTGGTCCCTGGGGGCTATGCCACTTCCCACCCCATGTAGACTGAGGTAGGGGAAGCCAGGGACTAGTTAGATGATCAGTCCTTGAGTTATGGCCTCCTAGTCTAACTCTACCCTCTGCCTGGCTCTTTGGCAGAAACGTTTCCATCCATTCCCATCTAATATTCCCCAACAGCCTGGCCCCAGGTGGCTTTTTCAAACACTCAGCTCATTTGGACAGAAGCAAGGGCATTACTTTAATAGCAACAGTGACACTGTGTAACAGCATGGGACAGAGGTAGTGGAGAGAGAAGATGGTTGGGTTTCCTGTCCCCTAACCAAACTGGATTTTTATGGTAAAACCCCAGCCATCTAGAAGCACCTCACCCAGCCTTCTCAACGGAGCAGGAAGGGGTGGGAATTGGAGACCAGGGACTTGAAACTTTGATGGCAAGCCAGGAGAGAACTGGTGAGGGGTGAGGGACCGAGGGGGTCCCTAGCGCAGGTCTTCAGCAGTGAACATGCCCTTGGCCCTGCGTAGGATGGAGTCTTTGGCTGCGTCATAGGGGTGCTCCTTGGATGGAATCTCCAGCACCGCTGGAATGGAGCGCTGGTGCGCGTCAAGGGCATGCCGTACCATTTCTGCAATGTACTGGTTGATGAGGATGATGCCAATGTCGTCCCGGTTTAGAAACTGCCTGTTGGGGAAGACCACACACAAGTCCAGGGACTGCTGCCTCCCCTGCTCCAGCAGCCCCCTCCTGATTGTGGAGCTGGGCTGCAGAGGGGAATGAGTGACCCAGAAAGCAGGAAGGACAAAGGGAAAAGCTACTGTTCTAAACTCTTTCTCAAGCTTTAATTTTCCTTGAATGAATCTGGGCCTGTAACCCTAGTCACTTAGAAAGCTGAGCTCTGAGGATCATGGTTCAAAGCCAGCCCAGGCAGGCAAGTCTGTGAGACTCATCTTCAATTCACCACCACCACACACACACAAAAAAAAGCCAAAAGTGGAGCTGTTGCCCAAATGGTAGAGTGCTAGCTTTGGGCACAAAAACTGAGGGATAGAATCCAGGCCTTGAGTTCAAGCCTCAGGACCAGGACAAAAAAAAAGGAGCCGGGTGCTGGTGGCTCACGCCTTTAATCCTAGCTACTCAGGAGGCTGAGATCTGAGGATCGAGGTTCAAAGCCAGCCCAGGCAGGAAAGACCGTGAGACTCCTATCTCCAATAAACCACCAGAAAACTGGAAGTGGCACTGTAGCTCAAGTGGTAGAGCGCTCGCCTTGAGCTGAAGAGCTGAGGGACAGCACTCAGGCCCAGAGTTCAAGCCCTACAACCGACAAAAAAAAAAAAAGGTGGGGGGGGAAGGAGTATATATGGTTGTCCTTTTGTATCTGTATAAAGAGATTACAGAAAGATAATCTTCCTTCTATTACTGACAGAGGTAGAGGAGGGAGATATTGAAGTATAAAGACCCACAAGAGGTGAGACTTCTCAATGCATACTTTTTGAATATTATTCGATGTTTTAAAATAAGGTTGTTGGATGTCAGTGGCTCACACCTATCATTTTAGCTACTCTGGAGGCTGAGATCTGAGGATTACAGTTCAAAGCCAGCCCCTCTTCTCCAATTAACTTCCCAAAAGCCAGAACTGGAGTTGTGGCTCAGGAACAGCACCTAGGCCCCAAGTTCAAGCCCCAGGACTGGCATGAAAAAATAAATAAAAATAAGGCCAATGAAACCACTGAAGGTTTCAAGGTCTAGACTGATGAGTAGAGGTGGAAAGATGAAGCAAAGGCACAAGATGAGAAAAGGAAACCCAGTAATGCTGAGTATAGAATCATACTTTCCACAGACAGAACCTGCCACTGTGACCATCCCCAATTCATTAATTTACTTCCTCATTAAAAACTACTGAGCATGGGGCTGGGAAGGTGGCTCAGTGGTAGAGCGCTTGCCTTGCAAGCATGAGGCCCTGGGTTCGATTCCTCAGCACCACACAAGCAAAACGAAAAAAGCCGGAAGTGGCGCTGTGGCTCAAGTGGTAGAGCGCTAGCCTTGAGCTGAAGAGCTGAGGGACAGTGCCCAGGCCCAGAGTTCAGGCCCCACGACCGGACCCAAAAAAAACAAAAAACAAAAAAAAACTACTGAGCATATACTCTGTACCAGGCACTAGGAGAAGATCCACTTTGGTTGGAAACATGGAAAATTCTTTTTTCTTTTTTGTGCCCATAGTGGGGCTTGAACTCAGGACTTGGTTACTGACCCTTAGCTTTTTCACTCAAGGCTGGCACTTTACCACTTGAGTCACAGCTCCACTTCCAGCTCTTTGATGGTTAACTGGAGATAGGGTTTCATGGACTTTCCTGTGCAGGTTGGCTTCAGATCATATTCCTCAGATCTCAGCCTCCTGAGTAGCTGGGATTACAGGCATGGGCCACCAGTGCCTGGCTTGGAAAATTCTTGAAGTAAAATTTGTCCTTCTCCAAAGACAACTTGGGTCACTTTACCAGACTGCTTAGAGATCGACACATAGCAGCTGCCCAGGTCAGGGCCTACTCCAGGCAGAGAGAACCAGTCTCAGCCAGCAGCTCTGGGCTGGGCTTTTTAGAGAAAACAGGTGAGAGCAGTTTATTTCTGAGATTTGGCATAGGAGCCCCAGAAGGGGAGTGAGGTAAACAACAGGAGGCTATCATCTTAATTCTAGACACCTTCTGGATTAAAGGGTATGCCTGCACCCACACTTTGAAGCTATCATCCCTGACCCCAGGCAGCTAGTGGGGCTTAACGTACAAGATCTTAGTAGAAAACCGATAATCTAGATGTGGTGGCCCTTGTGTTCAGGACAAAGGAAATTTTTAAAGCAGGCCGAGCACCACACAAGCCGGGTGGGTACTAGCTTAGAAGAGGCATAAAGGGTTGCCACTAGGTTCAAATCCCAGCTGTCTCTTCTCATTGCTGTACCTTTGGGCATGCGATTTAGCCTCTCTGAGCTTCGGTCTTCTCTCTTGTAAGTGGGATTAACCCCTACCTTACGGGATGATTGTGAGCTTTTGGGGGATAAAGATAAAGGTTCCTTTAGGGTGCAAAGGAACCCCGGGGGTTACAAGGCCCCTAGACTGCTCTGCGGGTGACTGTCGCGGAGCCCGGAAGAGGCGCCGAGGCGGGGTAACTCCACGGTCCCGCTCCAGACGTCCCGACACCGCAGGTCACGAGCTCTCTTCCCCTTCTTGCCTGGCACAGAATCATGTGAGGACCTGACATAGCCCGGATCCCACCGAACCCCAAAAGGGAACTGGCGCCTCCGCTCCGGCCGGGCGGACAGACTTCCAAGACCACCCCTTATCCCCGTAGGGGTCTGACACCTCGGTCCCCAAGACACCTCCACCCCCTGCCCTTACTAGCACCAGGCAGAAGGGCCCGTCAGGCCTCGCAGGCCACCGTACCGGAAGGTGTCTTCGATCTCATTGATGGTGGTATCCTTCTCCACCACCAGGAAATTAGGGTGGCGGTTCTTGTTAAGCTCCCCAATGCCGCCCAGCAGGAAGCCAGTCACCGTGTCCTCGTCTCCAATCACCGCGATTAGTTTACCCCTCCCCGCCATTCCCCAGCCAGGCAGCGCTCGACCCGAGCACCTGAAATCGCCGAAACCCCGCCCAGTCAGCGCAACGCCGACGCCCCTCCCTTCAGACATGCGCGCTACCGCGACTATCTTTTCGACATGCGCATTAGCAGCAATGAGCCTCAACCGGAGTACGCCTGCGCCATAAAGAGAGGCCGAACAACAGAACTACGATTCCCAGAAGGCTGCGCGGCATCAGCCTCTCACTGGTTCTGCCTTTCATTTATTCCTTAGTTGGTTCATTTGTTGGACAAACTTTTTGTGTTTTTTGGGGAACAGAGCTTTGCTATGCAACTCAGGTCGGCCTCCAATTTGCAATTCCTCGCTTCCGCTTCCCAAATGCTGTGATTGCAGGCATGCACCATACCTGTCAATACATATTTTGAAACAAGAGCTATTACATTCTTCCAGAGAAGAAAAGATACTTTCTGGGACTTTCTTTTTCCCCCCGTAGTCATTGTTTGTTTGTTTTGTTGAGATAATGTTTCGCTGTGTATCCCCAGGCTGGCTCCAAACTGATCATTGATATATACCATTATGCACAGCCATTGAAAAGACAAGGAAAGGAAAGGGGCGAAAAAAGACACTTCCTGTTCTTAAGGAGAAGGTCTGGGATTGAATGGTGTGTGGGCATGTGTGTAACTACAACCACAGTTGACAACATGTGTTTAATTACTAATGGGATGAACAAATTCACAACAGTACTTTTTAGGTAAGGCAGAAGGTCAAGGGATCAGTTAAAAGAACACGAACCTGGCTGGGAATGTGGCTTCGTAGTAGAGTGCTTGCTTAGCATGCATGAAACCCTGGGTTTGATTCCTCAGTACCAAGTACCACATAAACAGAAAAAGCTGGAAGTGGTGCTGTGGCTCAAGTGGTAGAGTGCTAGCCTTGAGCACAGAGAGGCTCAGAGTCAGTGCCCAGGCCTGGAATTTAAGCCCCAGGACATGCAAAAAATAAAAATAAATATAATAACACAAACCACTAAAATGTGAGGAGGACTAAAAGGTAACTGCATAAAGCTGAGAGAAGGCACAAAAGCGGAGAAAAGGAACTGTCAAAAGAACATTTCCCCCCGAAGATTACACAGTTGAGACCTGAAGGACCAGCAAGGGGAAGGGATGAAAAAGGGAACAAAAAAGTGTGTTAGACAAGAAGAGTAGCATACAGGAAGGCTTGATTAGACAAAGCCTCCTGAAGCCACAGAAGTTTTCTAGTAAAAGGGGTGATATTGACAGATTTACGCTTTAGAACCATCACTGCAACAGTGCAGTGTGCAGAGGGCAAGAGTAAAGAGGGAGAAACCAAACTGGGGGGCCATTGTGGTGGGAGATGATGGTAGCTGGGACTCAGGTAGTGATAATGAGGATGTGGACCAGATGGAGTCATGGAGTTGAGTCATACTTAGAGCCAGACTGCATAAAAGTGACTTTTTGATTATTTGTGTCAGGGGAGAGAGGAGACACCAGAGAACTTCTAGGCATCTGGCCTGTGTAGCTAGATGCACAGGAGCAGCATTTCCTGATCAGGTGAGAGAGGACAGGACCACTCTGTCCCTTTCCACTAACAGGCACCCTTGTACTGACCAGAGGAAGAGAATGAAGGGGTGTAGGAGCACTTAGTCAAGCATCTGGCACACACAGATCCTCAGAAGTCACAGATGGTTGAGTACACAACAGAATGAATTCACTTTTAATGGCTTTATCAGCTGAAGTAAGGAGTTGGGACAGCACCACTTTTGTTACTACTCTTTGCTTCAATCATCACTTATCAAATGTGGCCACAATCAGAGACTGAGGATGTAAGCCTGATAAAATAGGATCCTGTCTTTAAGAGCTTCCTGCAGGACTAGAGGGGAAGGTAAGAAATCTCAGGGGAGAGGTGAAGATGTGATAAAGAGAAGCTCTGGAGGGGTAGACCCAGAGAGATGTGTGTGGGGAGGGGCAGTGCCTCTTTCTAGGTGAGGAGTGAGGGAAGAGGCAGGCCATGGAGCCAAGCGGGGAAGAGAAGCAGGGTTAGGAGCTGGAACTCCTTGAGATTTGGGTCTTGTCACCAAGTGTCTGGGGACTGGTGGATTGTTATTGATCCCATTGAGAAAATGTCTTGCCCTGTTCTGCAACTCAATTGCTCATTCCCATGTTAAATCAGGTCTACATTAGACCTCCCAGGACTCCTTTGTGGGACTCCCTTGAGCTTCAGCAATTGGGTTGGAGTCCAGGGAGGAGATTTATGCAAGTGAGGTCGAGAGGTAGGGAAGGCGCAGGCCCTGGATTGAAGTTTTGGGGTACAAATGATCCTACCTGCTCTCTGAGTATGGAACATTTCTGTTTGAATTGGTGCTCCCTGGTCCTAATTTGAAGTGTATCCTCCTCCTGGCTGAGCAGAAATTGGCCTTCCAGTAGTTCTAGTGCAGCCTTCCAGAACAATCTACTCTGCTACTACCCACCAACCTTCCAACTCGCTGAGGGCTGAACTCCACCTCACCCTCATTTTTCAAGCTTCCTGCCAACATCCTAGACCTCATTTCTTTCCTAGGCCCTACCCTTCAGTCTGGGTCAGGCCTCCAGGGAAGAGCTACCCTTCCTCTGTCCCTCCCAGGGCAAGACAACACACCCACACAGAACAGCCAAGCCTCCGCGACAGCCGTACTTTATTTGGAGTTTTCCACTTGGGCGGCTCTGAAGTCAGCCGCATAACATGTGCAAAAGTCCCCCCAGAAAGCTGGGCCTCGCAGTGTGTAAAAAAGGCCCCCATGGGGCAGAGCTGTGCAACAGTAAATATAAAAAGAGAGAGTTTGAAAGACAGAGAGAGGGAGAGAGAAATCAGTCCCTCAGAAAGCCTGGCTTGGGTGGAATACGTGTTGCTCAGGCCAGTCCACGTGCCACTTGATCTGGTCTGTTTTCTTCTCCGTTGTACTTCCCCCATCCAAGTCTTTAACTCTCTGGGCTGTGGCCACCAAAGGGGCCAGTGACAGTCCTCAGGGGGTTTGCAGGCAACCTCTCTCACAAATAGATCTCCCCAACACAAAGCTACCACACTGGCCTCAGCCCCATCAGGGAACGTTGGGCTTCTCTAGGCCCCAAGCCCTCATCCAGCCCATTGTGTCTCTGCTGGGTCTGGCTCCAGCGGTCTGTCCTTGCGCAACTCTTAAGAGAGAAGCCCTGCTCTGAGACAGAGGCTCTCGACTGCAGGGACACAGTGAGGTGGGGGGCTGCGCCCTTCACATCACACCCAAGGCAGGTGTTTGTAGCGTCCGGTTCTGCAAGTGTGTGTCTGGGTGTGGCACATTTGTGGGGGTGGATGGGGGTGGATGTGTGTTTGGGCGAGGTGGGGGCGGAGGCTGGGGGAGGCACTTCTGGGATTCAGGGCACATTGACTTTGAAGGGGCTTCCGGGGACACTTTCATCACCCCACTTGACAATGAGGATATAGTCCCCTTTCTCCTTGACAGTGTAGGTGACGTTGTACACGCGGTTCCCCATGTGCTTCACGTATACCTCCTCACAGGGGGTCTTGGGCCCGTGCACACCCACCATCATCATGTTGGTGCCTGGAGAGGGAGGCAGAGAGGGTGGGCTCCCATGTGTTCCCCAGGCCACACCCTATCCCCCACTTCCTGCGTCCCCCCCACTGTCCCAGAGGCTGCCTTCTCTCCCCTTGAACCTGCCTGCCTTGCTGCAGTCCACTGTGAAGGAGTTCTTCTGACCCACAAAGGCCTGGGATAGCCCGGGACCTCGTGTCACCACCTTGCTGGCATCTGAGGAGAACTTGGGGATGGAGCTGTAGCTGGAGCCCCGGCTCGAGGAGGACTTGGTCACAGTCTCCACCAGAACCGTGGATGTTTCGTGAAGGCTGTGGCCTCCAGACAGCCTGGGACCTGAGGGGCGGAATGGGTGGTCATGATCCCAGTCAGAGGGCATTCCTGTCCTTCCCTAGGTTGTGGGCCCGCAAGGCACACTGACAACCTTTTGGGGCCACAATGCCTGCACTATAGGACTCTCCCTTCCTGTCCTTAGCTGTGGCCTTTGAGGAGCGCAATCCTTTCCCGGCAGATGCCTGCACTTCCAGCTCCAGTTCCTGCTTATCCCTAGGCCATGGCCTCTGCTGGAACTGAAGTTAACTCACAGGGCAAGAGTTTTATTTGAAAAAGAAACACATAACCATGCTGGCAGCTGACACCTATAATCCTGGCTACTCAGGAAGTAGAGACCTGAGGATTGTGGTTCAAAACCAGGCCAGGAAGGAAAGTCTGTGAGAATCTTGTTCTGATTAACTAGTATCAAGCCAGAAGTGGAGCTATAGCTCAAGTGATAAAGTAGTAGATGTGAGTGCAACACCATAAGTATTAGCACAGTACTAGCACAGGAAAAAAAAAAGGGGGGGGGGGCTGGGAAGGTGGCTCAGTGATAGAGCGCTTGCCTTGCACGCATGAGGCCCTAGGTTTAATTCCTCAGCACCACATAAGCAAAAAGAAAAAAGCCAGAAGTGACACTGTGGCTCAAGTGGTAGAGTGCTAGCCTTGAGCTGAAGAGCTGAGGGACAGCGCCCAGGCCCAGAGTTCAGGCCCCACGACCGGACCCCCTCCCTCCCCCCAAAAAAAGATTAATCAGAAAGGGATAAAGAGGACAAGTTGGATTCTGAAAATGATTATGTATGAGTTCACAGAATGGAATTCTGCATAAAGCCAGGCCCACCTCTGTTCCTGGTAATTTGACCATGATGTTTGGGGGCGGAATAAGACCAGATGTGAATGGCCAGTTGGAGCCATCCAATCCAGGGCACTCACCTGTAACCTTGGCTTTGAAAGGACTGCCTACGATGTGCTGGGGGCCACCATATTTGATGGCAATGAGGTAGTTGCCAGGGGCCATGGGAGTGTAAGTGACCACATGACCCTCAGGACACTCCCGACAGTCCAGCTGCACCTTGGAGGGACCATCAATGGTGACGGACAAGGCTCCTGAGCCGGCATTCAAGGTGTTCACAATGAACTCTGATGACACACCTGGGGAGGGAGGGAGCAAGGATGTAGGCAGAAAGAGA